CACACATCAGGAGCGGACAGAGCGAATCATGACAGTATGTATTGGTGCCAATATCATTAATGTAAATTAGGAACAATAGTGGTCCTAAAATTGAACCCTGCGGTACCCCACTATGAACGCAGGCCCACTGTGACATTGTGCCTCTCATAACTATCCACTGCTGTTAACCAGTTTTCTTTCCAAGCTGTTCCTAAAATCCCTGCAGCTTTGATCTTAAGTTCAAAGGCCTTCTGGAAATCTAAGTAGATCACATCATAGAACTTTTTGTGATCAATTTCTCTTGTAGCTTCCTCAAAGAACTCAAGCAAATTAGTTAAACAGGACCTACCTCTCCTAAATCCATGTTGGCTATCCCTCAGAATGTTATTTTAATCTAGGTAATCTACCATTTTCACTTGGATTATAACTTCCATGACTTTTCCAGTTATGCAAGTTATACTGATTGGCCTATAGTTTGCTGTATTACTTCTATCCCCTTGTTTGAATATAGGCGTTATATTAGCATGCTTCTAATCAGAAGGTACCACATCAGCAGATAGGGATTTCTGAAATAGTAAAGTTAAAGGTTGGCTAATAATATCCCTCATCTTTTTTAAAACTATAGGTAAGATGCCATCAGGGACCTGTGATTTATTTATTTTGAGCTTAGCTAGGCTTTGTACCACATCAGCCTTACTTTGTACTCACATCAGTTATACATACAGTAAAACCTTGGATTGCGAGTAATTTGGTTTGCGAGTGTTTTGCAATACGAGCACAAATTTAAAATTAATTTTAACTTGATAAACGAGGTCTTGCAATACAAGTATTATATGTACGCTTTGTCTGCCTAGCGTTACGTGATCACAACTGAACCGATGGTTCTTCTCTCTCTTTCGCTGCGGGATTGTGGGTAATTGTCTCCCATCAGTCAGTGTGCCTCACTTGTATAGTCAAAATTTAGTAGAAAAGCGCCATCCGGATAAGAGCATAGCAGTGCAAGCGATGAATCTGCTTAAAGACAATGCAATGTCACATTTCCAGGAAATCAAAAAGGAGACAAAAGCAGCTGTCATTGGATAGGTTCCTTGTTAAAGTTGCACAAAAGAAAAAGATTCCAGCAAGCCAACAGATAGCGGTGATTCCGTTAGTTATAGTGAGTCGTCCTACAAAATAACCCTCCTCTTCTCCTCTCTCTCTCGTTTCCCTCACACCATCCACTATTCTTTTCAAAGGTAAAGTGCAGGTTAATTTGTTTTATGTATTTTTACTTTATATTTTGCATTAATAATTTTTATATGAATATTTTTTGGTTGTGGAACAAATCCTCTGAGTTTCCATTACTTCTTATGGGAAAATTCGCTTTGATATACGAGTGCTTTGGATTACAAGCATGTTACCGATGATAATTATGCTCACAAACCAAGGTACCACTGTATATTGGTCATAGACGATGCTGTATTCCTACTAAATGGTGGTAAGTTACTTGTGTTCTCTACTGTGAACAACCGTGCAAAATAATCATTAAAATCATTTACTATATCAATTTCATTTTCAATTATAAGGCACTTACTATCCTGCAAATGAACGATTTCAGCTTCTACAGCTTTTTTGGAATTAAAATATTAGGCCTTTTCCTCCTGACTTTATTCTTACTTTCCTTAGTAAACCACCTTGGTTGCAGTTTCCTAGATTTAGTTTTGCTGGAAACAGGTATAAAGTCCTCTTGCACTTGCAACAATGTGCTTTTAAAAAATTCCCATGCCTCTTCAACCGTTTTGCTATTTCACTCCATCCAGTTTACAGTTTCTAGTTTCAGTCTCATATCATTAAAGTTAGCCTTCCTAATGTTGTATACTTTTGTTTTGGACTTTGCTCTTCGGACACTAAACTTAACCTCAAATTTAACCATGTTATGACCACTACTGTCCAGTGCTTCTAAAACCTCTAATTTTCCAATCCTATCCTGGTTGTTAGAGAAAACAATATCAAGAAGGGCTTCTCCCCTGGTAGGGGTATTAACAAACTGAGTAAAAAAACAATCCTGTACTAATTTTCCACCATCTCAAGTTCATTTACAGAAGAGACTATGTCCCACTGTATCCCAGGTAAATTAAAATCCAAACCCAAAACCACTACATAATTTTTACTTATAATCCTGATAACGTCATATAACATTGTTTCCTCTGCAGCTACATTAGGTGCTCTATAACAAACACCGACAATTAGGTCATTTAAGTTTTTAGCATCTAGTTTTATCCATACAGCTTCTGTACTATTATTTTTATCAGTGAACTCCAAACGTGACGAAAAACCAAGCATGAATGAGCACCTTACATTGGCTTAGAAGTTTCTGTATCTGTTAGCTATTTTGTTAGCCTTTAATGTATGAATCTGTACTTATCTGCAGCTTATCACCATGTTGAAGGACAAATACCTTATTAACCCTTTAGCCAGAGAATCTGCAACAAGCAGAAGCTGCCAAGGTTTGCTACTGAAGGAAGGTATTTGCCTTAGTTCACCAAAAGTTCACGGCTGGGTATTCAAAAAAAAAAAAAAACAAGTAGAGATGGTCACGCCACCGTTATATTCAGCCGAGGCACCAAGCAGTAAAAGAGATGATTGACAAACTTATCATAAAGGGGTGTGGATTAAGGGAGAAAACAACGATGGTGAATGGTTGAGGGAATGATGATGGTTAAGTGACAAGGTATTGTTACATAATAAGAAAATGTATAAAAATTGGTGTAAAACAGTATCGAACACACTTGTGTCTGGCCTTGGTTGTAACGCCATTGTTGCAATAAAGGCTGAATCTGAATATCTACACAAGCGGCTCCTGACTCCTTATTGGCAGGGAAGAAAAAAACACAACACGTTTTTGTTATTCCTATAATGTCGTAAGTGTCTGATGAAATTGAAGCCTCCAAATCATGAATTTTGTTTCTAGTACTCTTAGCGTTTAAATACAGACCGCAGGCCTTTTACAGTGACCACTTTTAGTATTAATTGGGGCTTCTGTTTCTCCCGAACCTATATTCTTAACCTCCCTGCCCCCCCAGTCCCTAGTTGAAACATTCCTCAACTACTCTACACATATGCCTCCCCAATACACTGGTTCCCCCCTGGTTCAGATGCACCCCATCCGGCTTGAACAGGTCCCACCTGTTCCAGAAGGACTTCCAGTGCCTCATAAACCTAAACCCCTCTTTCCTACACCACCTATTTAGCCACGCATTTATTGTCTTTATCTCAGCTAACTTAGCCTGGCTTGCACATGCCACAGGAAGTATTCCAGAGAATACCACCATGGATTTTCTGATTCTAAGCTTATCTGCAACTTCTATAAATTTATCCTGCAGAACAGCCCTCCTGCCCTTGCCTATGTCGTTGGTGCCAACATGCACCATGACGACTGGATCCACCCCGGCTGGGGCCAAAAGCCTGTGCACGGAAGGTCCCCTACCTGGGCACCAGGCAGGCAAGACACCATACGGGACCCTCTATCCCAGGTGCACACATAACTGTCTGCACTTCTAATAATTGAATTCCCTACTACCACAACCTCCCTCCTCCTGGGGGGAGAGGGCTCCTTGGTGCCCAAGCACCCACCTGCCTCCCCAGTGTCTAAAGCTGGAAGCACCTGAATGCGGTTAGACAGTCACTTCAGGTGATGCCGCATCTATGAACTGTGTATGCCCTTTTCTACGTCTATGACCTACGTTCACCCAGCTCTCGACCTATCTGTTCCTCATTCTCCCCCTCCCTGCTTGTGACATACACACAGTCTCCCTCTCTCCTCTAACTCCTTGCATCGGATGAGAGCCAGTTGCTCCTCGAGGTCACGAACCTTGACCATGAGCGAGTCTACTAACTTACATCGCTCGCAGATGAAGTCCGACTGGACACAAACATCCAGAACGGTAAACATCTTGCAAACACAACACTGAGCTGGCCACATAATTACCTAACTCACTATGATCCTTTACTCCCAGCCCAGTATATTTATATAGCGTATTTAACTTTTAGTTGATCTAATTAACGTATAGTTAAAACAATTAAGTGCTGAGTACAACAAAACAGTGAATTAACACTTGCGTTAAAATGGAACTTTTTTTAGTTATCCGATAGCATCAGAGATAATCTTTGAAATTAAACTTTTAAAATAACCAAATTAACTATTACCTACCCAAGACTAACTTTCGGCTGAACCACATTTAACTAAAATGGAATCTGCCAAACCCATACTCATCCATTAGTCTGCCAGACAGAGAAACAAGATTCTTCACTGCACAGAACACATTTCCACTGCTCCAGCATCCAGTGGCAGCAAGTTCACACTACTTCATCTGACTCCTGGCATTGCATTTGGTGATGTGAGGTTTGTATGCAGCTGCTCAGCCATGGAAGCCCATTCCATGAAACTGCAGGCGCTAAGTTGTGCTGTGATTAACACCAGAACGTTGGCAACTTTTACACATTTACAATTGACCATGGAATATATAGCAAGGAAGAAATTTCACAAACTTTTTGCCAAGGTGGCATCCTATAACGGTACCACACTTGAATTCACCGAGCTCCTCAAAATGACCCATTCTTTCAGAAATGTTTGCAAACCTGACTGCATGGCTAGGTGCTTGATTTTATACACTTGGCAATGGGTCTGAATGAAACACTTCAATTTAATGATTGAGAGGTGTATCCAAATACTTTTGTCCATATAGTGTAAATTGCAATCCCAACATAAAACAATAATGATCGTGGACTTCCTCACGATGTAGTTGCAGTGAAAAGATACAGACAAAGCAGTTGTGTTCATGTGAAAAAGGTATGTTAAAATTTCCTTGCTTTAAGTGTTCTTTAAGTAATAAATGGACGCATAGCTGTCTTTTTTACGGATCCAAAAAAATGAGACAATCCGTGACTCAAAATCTGAAAAACATAAGCTTTGTGATCCGTTGGACCCTTAATATACATACACACAATTTTCTACCAGTTCTATTTTAAGGATACCTCCCCAATTGGATATGCAAAGCATAAATAAGACTTTATTATATCAATAACATTTAAAAAATTAATCTGAGGAAGAAAGAGGCAAAACAGCACATATTCCAGACCAAGGAGTATAGTAGTTTACAAGAATACTGAAAGATTGGCTTTGAATAATGGTACAACATAGCACAGTATAATAGATATGCTGTGCTGAAGCTTACGGATTAAGTAAAGATACAATCTGGCTGTTATATGTCCTGCAGCAGAGCTTCGGCATCCTCCAGGGCCCTCTCCATCGTCTCCACTTCCAGAGAAAAGCCCTTCCTCTCCTCACAGTGCTGCTCTTGGCTGCTCTTAAGCACCCTCATTGTCTCCTGCACCTGCTGCAATAGTTACATTGTAAAAACTGCCTCCCACAAATCATTGCCGATGCAACAACAGAATAGACCACAGTGTTCACCAACCTGCAGCTGCTGTCTGTGTCCCGAGGCCAATTTCCCAAAAGTCTTCAGCTCTCCAAGCAGATCCGCTGCAGCATTCTTTAAGGTGGCGGTGGTGGGGGAAATAGTCAATCATAATCAGTCACATACAATGAGACTGCAATTAAAGTCATTGACTGGCCTGCACATACAGATTCTGCAATACAGAATTTAAACAGACCATTCCAGCAGGCCAAAATTAAGCTATACATTTTCATATATATTTTTACAATCCCTCACATTTGCACGTTCCATTTAAATCTGAATCCCCACCCCCCAAGAAGTGAGACATGAAAAGGCTGCAACTCTACAATACAGTATTTGTATAAACTAATGTAAGCTTCAAAGTTTACAAGCAGTGTCCAGGTTATGAAGGACATCTTCTCTCAGTTAAATTTATAGGTACACTACCAGTCAAAAGTTTCACAGTGAGATTTACTACATTTGAATGTTACTCACTTAACATTTACTAAAATACACTCAATATTCTTTGCCAGCAAATAAATTTACAGTATGTTCACCATTTGGGGGGCAGTGTGTGGCTCAGTGCTTGTAAGCCATCAGCACGTCTGCGGGTCCTTGAGGGAGGGAGGTGTAAAAAGAAAATTTCCCCATGGGGATCAATAAAGTATCGATTATTATTATTATTTATTATTTTAGCAAGAAAATATCATCTTTGATTAGCAGTTATAACAGAGAGAAAATTTGAGGTGTTCTTTCTACAAGGGACATTAAATACTGCTCATGGGATGAAACAGTTAAATGTAAGAGGTAAAGGACAGTGTAGAATTTGACTATGCCAGCACCACACAACCTGTTAATTGGATGTCAGACATACATTCTTACACACTCTTTCCATATTATAAAGGAAACTTGTTTTGACATATTTTCATTTCTCTCTCTTCACTCAACTTTCCAGTGCTTAACACTAAAAAATCTGCAGTTCATGAAATAAATGGAACAGGGGGGATAAACCTGTGGCATACAAAAACTTTTGACTGGTAGTGCAAGTTAACGAGCGTCAGAAAGAAGTGTGTGTATTCATTATTATGAATCAATGTATTTAACCTGAATTTTTAATTTAATAGGCTTTGTGATCCCAGTGACTCCCTGTATTTGTGTAGAAAAACAGATTGAAGCCATGCATGGGTCACAAACAATAGCTTGGATTTAGAAAACCTAATTACTTTATGAAGGGCTCACCATGACATCCTTCTGCTGTTCTTCATTCTGTTTTGTCATTTCTGCAACTCTCTGACCCAAAACTGAAAGAAAAACATTACAGCTGTGACAGTACTGTGAGAAAGCCAACTGATATTTAACTTTTACAACTCCTTATCCTACAGGGACAGCAGGATTCACTCATGAAATTTCCTTTGAGAAAACACCCAGCTCAAACGGAACATTTCAAGGTAAAGCTGATCTATGTCAATAATGCTCTATGCTGTACACAGTAATTCACCATTCATTTAAATACACTACAAACATCATTAAAGTGCAAGTCCAAAGTTCAAGTGAATCACCTGGATCAGTGGTTCCCAAACTGGGGGGCGCGCCCCCCTAAGGGGGCGCAGAGGTATTGCGTGGGAGGCGCACCAATGGGATAGCCTCAGGGGCATGTGCCACCTTAAAATAATCTCTTCACAAACTGGACGATTAACCAAATAAAGCAGCGCAACATTACAGTAACTAACAATAAATAAACCATTAACTTACGTGTACTATTAGAGCATTTATGTCATTTATTTAAACTTTATTTTACCAGGTAAATTAACTGAAAACCAGTTCTCACTGCTTTACGTGATATTCGGGAGAAATAGCAGATAACGCATTGGAACTTCCTGGGATACAAACATCACGTTCTTCAGCCAATAAGGGCAAAGTTGTGTCGTCACGGAGGCTGTTCCAGTTTGTTCAGCCGGCTGAGAGGTGCTGTACAATCTGTCTTAAGTCGTCTTGCTCTTGCAAGGTTTTTGTACCATAAGACATGGTGACGCGTGACGACGTTTTGCAGCGCCGGTTAAAAAATCTAACCACATCATGAAAAACGAGGTTTAAAATTTTCTACATGAAGTGCAGGGAGACTATCAATTAATGGGTATGATTTAGTGTTGTTTTGTGCTATAGTATAGGCTGAAACCTGCAGTTATCATTAAAAACAAAATGCGGTAATCGTAAGACAAACTTTAATTTGTGTACGCCAATGAATATTAACATGAATGTTAAATCTGCATTAGCATAATTTCAAGCTTATGCTGGACTTTTATTTTTAATTAATTGCTCTTTTTTCTCCCACAGTGGTGAAATTGCACCATTTGTATTTTGTAATTGCATTTGTTTAGCTCAATTAGAAAAGGGAGTTGTATTTGAAATAAAAGTTTTAATCTGAACCTGTGTAGTTTGAATGGGGGGGCTCAATAATGTTCCTATCTAGAAAAGGGGGGCCCTGCAGAGAAAGTTTGGGGACCACTGACCTGGATCAACATTCCCAGCAAGCAGCAGCAGACAGCAACTGTCGAGCTGCTTCCGGATCTCCCTGTTCTCCTGATGAAGGGCTGTGCACTGCTGTTCTAATTGGATCACCTGCTCCTGCATTTAAAAACACACATCACAGACAACCTATTCCAGAAAGCATGCATACAATATCTATAGCTTAACCATTTACCAAAAACAGGCAGAAACAGCAAAACATAACTGCCAAAATACACACGATGCAGTGACACAAAATCCACCTTTTACCCCAACCATTCAAACGGAACGAATTAATCGAGTAAAGGATTGCTAACCTTCGACTGCGAGAAGATTCTTGTAAGCTCTTCATTACTTGCTTGCAAAGCAAGATTCTGCTCATGCAGCTCTGTATCACAGCTATGCAAAGAAAGAGAGGTTTACTCAAGGAACATTCAACGTACCCCCCAAAGTCTACATAGATGTTCACTGGAATGAAGGCCTACCCTCTGGGGACCCTCATGGCAGGCTTTTTCCTGTAAATACAAGAACTTCAGGTGTTATGAATTTCATTTTATAACAACAGACCAATGGACACACAACACCCACCTTGAAAGAACGTTTTGAATTTTCCTTTGTTTTGAAGCTTGAACGGCAACTTCTGCTTCAGAGAAGAAAAAAAAGTCAGCTGGTGTAGCAGTTGCTTGAATTCTGTCGAACCCACTTTTCAAAACATCCACACGTCTAAACAGGTATTATATAAACAGATTAAGATCGCATAGTTCTTTTTATACTGCAACTGAAAACCTATGGTTTGAAACGAATATATAATACAAGCTAAAAAATGGAAAAAAAATCTTTCTGCTAGTCTTAGCTGAACAAAATATTGTAACGCCGGCGGGGCGCATGTCCCAGCATTGTTATCGTTAATGGTCATATTCCTTATTGTCGCGCGCGCGTTTGCCAGTGTCTTGCGTGTACCCTACCCTGTCCGATCCTCATGTGCAATTAGCTTCCGTAAATCTCCCACCGTGTGTGTGTATGTGTGTGTGTGTGTGTATCTTAGAGTTCAGCGTCTGACAACCCTGTGTTTGTCCTGTATTTTCGGTGCTCGTTGGGTGCCCGTTGTTACGGAATTCTGTTAATCTCAGAATTCTGAGTATAGGAAAAAAAAGTCAGAATTCTGACATTAAAGTCAGAATTCAAATAATATTTTCATGGTGGCCCTAATCCTCTTCCGTACGTTGTAGTCCTTCTCAGGACTACCAATAAAGAGCGTGTTCTCCCTGGCAAGCGAGTCTGTTTCTCTGCTCCCGCGATGCCTCGGTTCGCCCTTCGCCACAATATTTACACTGGTTATACCGACAGGACACATGTACAAATGAAAACATTCTAACATCTGAATATAACAGGGTCTAATAGCATATCGTCAGTAGTTCCCGACTCATACATAAACTGGGTAAACCGCGTTATACTCCACCGCAGTATTTTTGATTAGACAGTAACAAATTACTGGACACATCTACAAATTTAAAAGCAGAAGAATCGGGGGGGGGGGGGATTATTTGTAGATTACCGAAAACAGCTGCCTTCCTATAACATGGTTTACACATTGACATTTCTATTTTTGTCAGTTCAGATCAGGTTATTTTGCCATCTTAAGTGTGTAAATAATACAGCCCAAACGCAATCGCAAAGCTGACCATTTAGTGATTTACTTACGATTTGCAGCGTTTCCACTACGGTTGTCCACATGCACCGGAATTTTTGAAGCCATTTGCGCTGCACTACTCGCTATTAGTCAAAAGAAAATAGTTATTAATCAATTAGTACATACGGAACTTGCTGATTAACTTCATATGAATAATAAAATGATACCTACTGTTTAAAACACTGAAATGCAGCGTGGCAAGAAACGCACGATCTATGTAACAGCAAAACCCCAGAGAAACTAGCTTTATAATGAAAAATATATATATAATGAATAATATTAACATGCGAAATTCGATATCGCTACTGACTAACCTTAACTGTTACAACAACAATGCCCGCGCTTGAAATTTTAAATTCTTATTCGCTTACCCTGCGCCCCGCATATAAGCCATTGATATTATGTCGCCCTCTATTGGATAGGAGGCTATAGCCTAAAACATCGTTGCAATGAATGTTGATCTCATAAGGAATTGCGGAGTCATGGATATAAAGCAACATCAAGAGAAGCAGACAAGGATGAGCAAAAGCAAGTCTTAAAATATAACGATATATTTCTACGCAAAGAGCCAACCGCAACATTCTCATTGATTTGCCATTTGTTTCCGAAACACAGTAATAAATAGCAAAAATAAATAAATAAATAAACAGCTACAAAAAAGTCCGGTGCTGTTTGCGCGTGTAATTACACATATATTTTCCACTAATTAAATTAAAATTTATATTTATTTATTTCCTTAATTTTTAGGAGGTTGTCTTCGTATATTGTGTACTTTTAAAATCTGTTTAAAAATTTGTTTACTGTTTTATATCACTAAATCTGTAGCAAAGAGTGAGTGACGTTTAGGGTAAGGTTTTAGCATTTACTTGTCAATTGCTCTCATTCTGTTCAAGGTGTCACATATCATCATGACCATGATCATCAAGACACTTACCCAATAAACCAATATTAAAAATTAATGGAAACAAACATTAGGGGTCCAGCTCTTGTAAAGTCAAAGAATCCTTATTGTTGTATCAGCTTTGTGGTAGATAGATAGATATATATATAGATAGATAGATAGATAGATAGATAGATAGATAGATAGATAGATAGACTATATTGCCAAAAATATTGGGACACTTGCCTTTACACACACATGAAATTTAATGACATCCCATTCTTAATGCATGCAGCTATAACAGCTTCAACTCTTATGGGAAGGCTGTCCACAAGGTTTAGGAGTGTGTTTATGGGAATTTTTGACCATTCTTCCAGAACATAATTTATGCAGTCAGGCACTGATGTTGGACGAGAAGGCCTGGCTCGCAGTCTCCGCTTTAATTCATCCCAAAGGTGTCCTGTCGGGTTGAGGTCAGGGCTCTGTGCAGGCCAGTCAAGTTCCTCCACACCAGATTTGTTCATGGTCCTTATGGACCTTGCTTTGTGTACTGGTGCACAGTCATGTTGGAATAGGAAGGGGTCATTCCCAAACAGTTACCACAAAGTTGGGAACATGAAATTATCCAAAATGGCTTTGATTGCTGCAGCATTAAGAGTTCCTTTCACTGGAACTAAGGGGCCAAGCCCAACCCCTGAAAACAACCCCACACCATAATCCCCCCTCCACCAAACTTTACAGTTGGTATAATGCAGTCAGGCAAATACCATTCTCCTGACAATTGTCAAACCCAAACTCATCCATGGGACTGCCAGTCAGAGAAGCGTGATTTGCCACTCCAAAGAACGTTTCCACTGCTCTAGAATCCAGTTACGATGTGCTCTACACCACTGCATCTGACACTTTACATTGCACTTGGTGATGTAAGGCTTGGATGAAGCTGCTCAGCCATGGAAACTCATTCCATGAAGTTCTCTATGCACTGTTCTTGAGCTAATCTGAAGGCCACATGTAGTTTGGAGGTCTGTAGCTATTGATTCTGCAGACAGCTGGCGACTTCTGCACACTGTGCGCCTCAGCATACCTTGTCCCCAGTCTGTCGTTTACCACTTTGTGGCTGAGTTGCTGTTGTTCCCAATTGCATCCACTTTGTTATAATACCACTATCAGTTGACCGTGGAATATTTAGTAGCGAGGAAATTTCACAAATGGATTTATTGGTACAGGTGGCTGTCATGGATAGCACTGAGGAACCCCCTTCGTCGTGTCAGCCACGCCCCTCCGGGGGTTCCGATCGATAGGGCTTCCCCGAGGTGTTCGCGTCCTGTCAACCAGTTGTTCTGGTCGTACCGGTTGCTCCCGTTCCAGACACTCATCTCCCAGCTGTGTCTTGTTTTCCCCGGTTTCGGTGTCACTATATCAGGCAACTCAGTTCTCTGATCAGTGCAAGATCTTCATGGTTTGCCCTGAGTTCGAGCGTTTTTTCCGGTGTGTGTTTCCCTGTGTTCTGACCTCTGCTACATCTCCTAAACTCCGAGTTTCTGCCTGCCCCCTTTCTGGACCGACGCCAATCGCCCGACCACTGCCTGGACCCTTGACTGTGTTTTTCGCCTCTGCCTCTTTCTGGACCGACGCCGATTGCCCGACGCCTGCCTGGATTCCCGACCGTGTTTTTCGCCTCTCCCTCGTCTGTACCGAAGCCGATCATCCTGCCTCCCCGCCTGAGTTTCAGCCACGCTCTCGGGCTTTGCCCTGGGTACTTCTGACCTTCCTAAGGAAAGAAGTACATAAACAATCAGGACTTACAGCTTGCCACGTCAGTGTCCGTCTTCTTGCCTTCACAACAGGTGGCATCCTATCATGGTACCAAGCTTGAATTCACTGAGCTCCTGAGAGCGACCCATTTTTATCTTTGCAAATGTGAGAACAGCTCGTTGAAATGAGGGATGACTGTAGTACAAAAAAGCTCTTCAATGACAGGCCCGTGGATAGTTCTTGGTGCAGCTAAGAAGCATCCATATGCTATCATCTCAGTCAGAGCAGTTACAATATTGCTCCCCTTTTCTACTACCTAGTTGTGTGAGCTCAGCTTTTCAAGCCTTTCGCTCTCAAAACAAAAACAAAGAGAAACTGAGAGCCAAGGATGAGGAGCTGTGGATTTGCCTCTCATCAGTACCGGCCAGAATCCCTTCATTATATGCAACCAAGGAACAACTACTCCCTGAGTATGGGAGCCATCAGACTGACCAGAGCAAAAGTAGGTATACCCACCTACAGAGACCTGGCCACTCCCCGGTCTGCGTACCTCAGAGAGTGCTGCCACCGAAACGCGGAGTTTACGAAGCCCTGATCCCCAACAGGCCTGACCCTATTAGCTCTCCGATGGCTTTAACTTATCCAGGGATGGGGCTCCTGAAGGCCTTCCTGCGGGCGGCTGCAGCAGAGCTACCCCCGGAGAGAGCAGAAGAGTATCGTTCTTGTTTAAATCGAGCAGTTGTGAATTGTTTTACAGTGGCTGGAGTGCCAATCACACCACCAAGCCCCAAAATAAATTGTTTCACTGCAAGTTGGAGGACTGCTTGCAGGGCCAGATGCAGTTTAGCATAATACTCAGGTGTGTAATATAAAATAATTAATAACACTGGTATACAGTGATTTTGGTGGCAACGATATCTGAACGGTTTTGTATTAAGTTTATGGTGCTTGTGAAAAGGGTACTTTTTTTTTCCTTTTCACTGGATTCAATTCCCTTATTTATATGGTTTGTTTATGAAATATAATTGTTTTGTATTTTCTTTATCTAGGGGAGTTTGCTGTGTATGTGGTGGTTGGTTGTGCTGCTGCTGGGAAGGCAGGGAAGTCAGCTGCTCATTAGGGAGAGTGAAGACAGGTTTGGGTGCTGCTTACTTGAGTTATACTAGGGGGGGGAAGAATATCAAAGATTACCAGTTAGTAATTATGTAGCCCTTATGAGACTGCAGCCAAATGCAGAGGCATGGTGGGAGGTCAAACATAGCTGCCATGGCTTGTTTGGTTTGGTATGAGTTAATTTTGTGTTTTATCTTTGCACAGCTCACCCCATGCTTACCTGAACAGGTGGTAGGTTCCAGTTAGGTGAGGTGGTAAAGGTGAAGGCCAGGAGAGAGAAGGGGGGGCAGCTTGCTGTGAGGCTGTGATTTTAAACCTGTGTTTGGTTTTCTTTAGTGTAGATGGTTTTCCCGGGAGACTGTTTTTTTTGGGCTATTGTTTCGTTATTATTTTTGTTAATAAACCTTACAACCTTCTGCACCTATTCCTGCTAATTGGACTATTTTTTCCCCAACATCCTTTTTAACGGGGTTGGTGTGCCAAAACCATCCCATTTCCCTTTAGTTCCCTTCCTTTAATGGAGGGCCGGCGGACAGTGCTGATTAAGAATATGACTTTGGTTTTGCCAGATTGGCTCTCATTTCGGAGATATTAATTAACACAACATGTGTGAAAAGCATTCAGAATTGCAAGAATATTATTATTTTAGTTACAACTAGTATGTAAACAGTCTAACATCATACAAAAAAGAAATGTAAAATATCTAACGGTGACAGGAAAAAGTTATGTGTCATGCCCCGATCATCCGCTCCTCTCGTGTGCCACGCCCCCTCGTTAACCTCATGTGGAATCCCAGTGTTTTACAGCTGTTTCTGATTGTTGTCATTAGTTCATTGTATTTAGTCCGCGTTTCCGTTTGTTTCCCGAGTCCGGTCATTGATATATTGACGTATTGATGTGTAGTCGTTCTGTGTTTTCGCCTTCATTCCTATAATTATTATCCTGCCTATTTGTCTGCGCTCCAAGCGCTCACGTGACGTAACATTATGTATGATTTGATTAAATAATACAATATTAATTAGTTATGAATTGTTATTAATGTCAATGGTTCAGAAAAAAAGTACTGTGGCTGGTTGAAAGACGACTAATGTGTAGAAGCGCGATGCGACCTTTGTTAAAAAAAAAAAAAAAAAAGTCATCAAACTGGCAACAATGAGCTTTAATGCCTTCGACTCGCATATCAGGGGAGAGAAGCACAAGCGTTTTCTCAAGTCAGACAACTGTCCCCATTCAGTTGTTTGCCAGTCCTGCAAGTACAACCCCTATGGATAGGCCTACACCCGCTTTGGTAGTGTCTCTGGATCCCACGACAAGCAATGCCTTCGGTACATTCTCCTCAACCAACACACTGAAAGCAGAAGTGCTATGGGCTTTGCAAACAGTTAGCCAACATCACTCCTATACATCCAATGATGACATTCACACTGTAGTGAGCAATGTGCTGGGACACAGTTAGTAATTGTAGGAAGTTGTGGCCTACATACCCTTCACAACTCATTGAAGTTTTCATGGCCCTATCATGAGCATTCAACCATTTCTGTTCTCATGATGCCCCTCCTTTGGAAAGACTTGGCAGATTTGATCTGAGTAAATATTCACCACCACAGTAACAACAGCAATGAATGAACATGCAAACATGCACATGTGAACTTAACTCTAATTTTATTTTCACTCTCCTTCAACGCTTCATCATTCATTTCATTACCTGTTAAAGAGTCAAAAGACAGACCAAAAGCTATTGCATTTGTTATCACACACAAGTCGCATTGGGGAATGCATTATTTTCATGGATGTCCATTATCTCAAAATCTAGAACCAATTCAGCAAAAGTAATGTGATTTTTGAATTCAGTACCCTCAAAATACCCTAAAACCATTCAAAAAACCTTGACAACTGATTTTTTTTTTTATGTAGACCTGTGTAATTTGTCAAATATTTTGTCCCTCTCCTGCCTCCATCTTATAAGGCTTGCCCCGTTCCCACCCGCAAAGGATAAATCTGTTTTGTTTGACTTATTTTCAGGTAAAGAATAAAGAAAAACCTGTAGCCTTTCAAAATAGGCAATGTTCAACATTTAATAGTTAAAGCAGGCTAGTCTTACATATCCGCTTGTTTAGTCGTGACGTCACCAAACTGTTTCCGGGTCCAAAGTCACAAAGGCGCTCTTGTTTAATATGCCGCAGTGCTGTGTCCCGTGCTGTTTAAACAGATCAGAATTAAAAAAAACATGTCAGTTGTCATTTTACCGCTTTCCCTGTGACGAGAAAGAGAAGAGGAGATGGCTGCGACTTATAAGGTAAGTTACAATTCTTAAATATACGACGCCAGCGGGTGCCAATATTAGCTGCTAACCTAGCTAACGTTACGTTAGCACTCTCCGGTAAACGTATCCCTGATACGGGGTAACTGGGTTTTGTAGGGTGTTTCTTGCAGTTATTTTTCAATGGTTCGTTCACGATTCATTTACGTTCTATCGAAAAACCAGTTAAAAACCTTAGCTTGTTTTATACTTTATGCTTTATCTTAACTGGGTAGCACAGAAAATGACAACCGAAACATGATAGGGGATTCATAGCAGGAAGCATTATGGAAAACCCAACATCTATGCCAACCAGCTAGAATTAGCAAATCAGAGGTTAGCTAATGTAAGCTCATAAGAGTATTGTTATTATGCTGTTTTTATTCTGGCACAAATTATGCATCATATACATTACTGCACAACCTATTTAAATTAGTTTAGCATTACTGTACACTTCATATTTTTAACCATTGTACTATATATAGTTTTAGTACTGTGACTGTTTCATAGTAAGCACTGTAGAGAACTTAAATACTAATCATGATTTTCCTGTTTCGTTTTTTTTTTTTTTTTTTAAAGGCGTGAGAACTTCACTCCAAACTGCAACTCTAGAGTGTGCAGTTGGCATTTCCCGGATGGCAAAGCTGCTGGGCCAACGCGATTTGCATGGAATGAACAGAAGAATTTCAAAGTCCCTGACCAGTTCAGGCATATGCGTAAAAAGAAACCAATGGTTCCTGCAGGTGGTGAGGATGCAGGAACAGATCAAGGACAGACCCCCGGCACTTCAAAAACTCTTACAGTTCTTGAAATAGAGAATGACATGCTTCGAGAAGAGAATGAGAGACTAAAAAAACTATTGGAAAAACAGAAGCAAACTTTTTCCTTCAGTCAAATTTCCTCTGATTCTGACAAAGTACAGTATTTCATTGGATTGCCCGATGCTGCCACTGTCCTGTTTTTGGAAGCACTTCTTACCAAATTTGAGCTACAGTATCATTCTGATTGGACTGTCCAAAGTATTCTTCTAGTTGATCAATTGCTCCTTGCTTTAATGAAGCTGAAACTTAATTGTGGCCACGTAGACCTTGCAACAAGGTTTAATTGCAGCACTGCAACTGTCACCAACATCTTCACCACCATCGTTTCTGCGCTGTATGACATTTTGTATGTCGGTATGTTTTAGAACAACATCCCCTCCACTGCCAAGAATCAAACATCACTGCCAGACTGCTTCAAGCCTTTTCCCAACTGTAGGATAGTGCTTGACTGCACTGAGGTTGCAGTCTCAAACACAGAAAGGCTTGACACACAAAGTCATTTGTACAGTCAGTACAAAGGACGGACAACACTGAAGGCTTTAATTGGTGTTGCTCCAAATGGAGTGATTACCTTTGCCAGTAACCTGTATGGTGGGAGTGCCTCAGACAAGGCAATAACAGCTGACTGTGGAATTCTCCAACATCTACAGCCAGGTGATATGGTTGTGGCAGACAAGGGCTTTACGATTCGTGACATTTTGCCAGAAGGAGTGTCACTGAACATCCCGTCTTGTCAATGGACAGTTCACACAAGAGGAAGTGAACAACAACAGACTCATCTCACGTGCGAGGATACATGTGGAACGTTCCATTCAGAGACTCAAGCTGTATTCTATTTTGGACCACATCCCA